AGGATCGCTGATACGCACTATCATAAGATGGGACAGATAACGTTGAGAAAATATTGATTTGACCAATTGGCAATTTTGTTGAGGTTATTCCTGTATACCTTTTGACAATCAAAAATTTATTGTCAGACATTTTTCAGTTTCACAAGCTTTTTCTAGCGTTTTTTTACAGCGCAGAAAAGCTGAAATCTTGTGTGTGTCTGTGTGTGTGTGTGTGTTTAATTCATAAAAAATTTCTTATTTTTTTTTGCATTTGGAACTGCCATCAGTTGATTTAATGTCAGAAGCTCAGAAGGAAAAAAAAATTTTTTTTTTCTTTTTTTTTTGGCTCAAGAGAACCTCTGCAAATAATTGTCATAAAGAACCAATAACCTTTTCAAAGGGGAAAAAAAACCGCTAAATATTATTACGTAATCTATAATTGATGTATTTGTTTGAATTTCCAAACCAATAAAAATTTATTTCCATATGAGGTAATTGGTGTAAAAATAGCAAAAAAATTGGTAAATACTGTAAACGTTTTTTTTTTTGTGTTTTCAATCAAACTACGAACCAAAGCTGTATACATATTAACTGTGAATTCGTTCGACTTTGTATGATAACAGTTGGTTACTTGTAATCTATTCAGTAGAACATTTACAATCTTTACGAGCTTCTTTTTCACAAAGCAGAAGAAATTTTCTTTAACTGTTTAATAATATATCAAAATTGTTTTACAGTAGGCAAATGAGAAAAAAAAATTTTTTTTGTTTAATGAGTGTCATTCAGAATTTTGTGGCTAAATTTAATCATCTAAAATTCCAAAAAAAAAAAAATTATTAGCTCACTGTTAGAACTGATGATCATAGCTTTATAATTTTTTAGACTATAGAAATTAGTCTCAACATAAATAAACTTTTTTTGTTTTGCGCTTAATTTGAAACATTCTTTTCATAGAAGCTAATAAGTGAGAACTGTAATTTGCCATCTGTTTTTTTCTCGTTGTTCATTTTCTTCTGACACCTTTTTCTCTTTATTGTTTGAACATTCATTTAACTTTGGCAGATAACTTTTGCTTTCAGCCCACTGATATGATGTAATCGTATTGAATCATTTAGAAGGCTTATAATGTTAGTCTTTTTTTTTTTT